TGAGTGGGGGATAGTGCCTTTAGTTTAGCATAGTTATACCAATACGTAGGGATAGACATGCTGGTGTGAGGGGGAATGTTCTCACAACTTTTCTCTGCTAGTCTTATTCAGTAAGTTTGTATATATATGTATGCATATATCCTTATTGTGGGTACTTTACCAAATACTAGAATTCCAGCTAGAGTGACTTGTTAGTAGCCTGCCCTCTGTTAGAGCTAATGGGTTGCAGGCATTGATTTTTTTTTTCTGTTTCTATTGATTAGGAGGCTGCTGTACATACAAACCTTAGCACAGCATGGAAAGAGAAAGGGAGGCAAAATAGTTCACATCCCAGCAACTCATCATGGCGGAAAATTCATCCTGGGAATCTCTGTCTTCTCCAACCCACAGGGTTCATGAGATGATACTTTTTTTTTTCCCGACCATCTTCAAATAGCAAACATTTCAAAGGTTACCATTCAATGGAAGAAAAGATTGCATGAGAAAAAGAAGTCTCACATGGGAAGCACAGGAGTTCTAGCTTCAGAACTCAAAATGAAACAGATCTCTTGGGTATCCATGGGTACCCAACTCATTCATAACAGCACCCAGATCCCACTAAAATCAGCTCGAACACTTTCACTTGGGTGGGCTTTGTGATTATGTTCTGAATTTTTCTGTGCCTCAGTGCCTCTGCGAACTAATGAACATGTTACTTTGTAAGAGGGTTGTGAGAGGCTAACTGAACTGTTTGCACATTTAGCTTGGAAGAGGATATAGGTCAGAAACTGAGGGATTTATGTATGGCAGCATTATAGCCTCATATTTGGTGCCTGCCAGAATTCCACTCCTGTCTATCACGAGTTTTTTGTGCACTCTCAGGGCAGTACCCACACCAGTTTTGCATAGAAATATGCTCATTTTAACTGTTAGATCTCTGTATCCCATATATCGATTTCTTTCTTACTTTCTATAAGAAAGTGTTACGCTAGAGATAACTTTGCTGTAGGATTGAATATTTGATGTTTAAACTGTCTTTTAAGTTGATCTTCAAGTTATATGAACCTGAAGATAAGAAAAGAGGACCGGTGAGGCTTTTTCCGTGTGTATTCATCTCCCTATCTCTATCTCATCTCAATTTCTAGCTCCTTCACTTGTGATTCTTTGGCAAAAACCAAAACCCACAAATCTTCTTTTCTTAGCTTGCTAGTTTGTTAAATTGGTCTGAGAAAACCACCAGCATGAAGATACGATGCGAATAACATTTCTTAAGTGCTTTGGGACCCTCAGCTTTGGATATCAGTGATGACTGCTCTGATTGCCCCCTCTGCTTGTCTAACCATACAGATATGTGACATTTTTCTTTCTTCATGAACTATCGTACATTTTAGTTCTCTTTCTGCACCTTATCTCACTTTTATCTTCTCTGCCCCATTGGCTTCCAGTTCTATGATCATCACCCTAACCCCAATTTGTTTTTCCTAACATCTCCTCTGCTGGTGCATCTGCCTATTAACACCTCTGCTCTGCCTGCAAATACAGCTGCATCAACTCCATCTCTTTTACATCTCATTACAGCAGCTCCTTCTGAGCTGGCCTCCCCAGGATGAAGATTCCTAGATACCAATTTTTATACTCTATTGCTGTCTGATTTTATCCTATGTGCCAAAGAGCTCCACTGCAGCACTCAATCCACAAACACTCTATTCAGTCTCATTACCATCCCATGGAGTTCCTTCTGACTTTGTGCCCTTCATCTTGCTTCCTGTATCTTTCTCATGCCCCTTTTTTTCCTACAGCACTGCCCCTTCTCTCCACAAATAGCAGCACTCTTGGTTTGCCATTGGAAGCAGACTTCCTGTGGCTCCCTGTCTCATCAGCTTCTCATTTCAAGTAATTTAAAATGTAATTTAAAATCTCTCTATTTCCTCCAGACTATTAATTTCTCTCTCCTTACTCTTCTATAGATGTCATTCCGTGTTGTGCTATTCAGGAAGATGCAACTTGTAAAAATCTGCCACAGTGTTTTTATTCTGTGTTCTTGTTTTGTGTTATCATTTTAATGATTCTTTGTAGGAAAGATGAAATCTCAGCACAGCATCTATCCACAGCACAAGCAGTCACACAGGACAGTCTGGCATTTGCATTGCCTTTGTTCCATTCTTCTCCTGTGGCATTTAGAACTGTAGAGGGATTATTGTGAATGGTCTAAGAGTGTATAAGTAGGGTAGCAGGAAGAGAATTATTTCTGGAAATGGGGAAGTGTGAGGCAGGAAGCCGTATTTGGTTCTGATCCTGAGATGTGCTGAGTTCTCATAGGTCTCACTTCTCTTAGCCAGACATTAAAGAAATTGTCACCCTGCAAACCTGGCCTTCTTACACTAGCAATTTCTTTCAGGAGAACATGCCCCTCTCTTGTTGCTGTAATATACATTTTTGAGAGTACAGAGTAACTGAGGAGCCCACCTTCCTTGGAGGTATGAGCTCCACAGATTTCCAGAGTGGTTTTCCAACCCACACATGCAATGTTTATGCCTGATGGATTTGAGTGCCAGAATAACCAGATGAAGTTTTTTCCTCTTCAGAGTTTTTCAGGCTCCTGGCCCAGATTTTCTACCTTCCTTTGAAGAATGGGAACATTTGAATACTGGATAGAGTTGGAGAGGAATGACCACCAACACAAAAAGAAAATGCTCAGAGTCCCAAGAACTACTTATTCTTCCCTTATGTGTTCCCTCTTCAAGGCACCTTCCTTCTTCCAGTGAAAATAGAAGGGAAGGTCCTTGAGTGATCTTCTCTAGCTTTCCCAGAGAAACGCTCACAGAGCCTCCTCTTCAACACAGGCCATCCCTGTATAGCCCTAATCTCCCACTATCTTAGAGGTGTTCTCTGCATCTCTCCACCTCTCAGATTCCTTTGTACCAAGTATAACAGTTCAGAGAGCCCGTCCACAAGCTACCATCCTCCACACTCTTGTAGCAGGCTGTACTCAGGGTACTAAAGATGCTTTGGAGCCACCTCCCCCCTTGTTTGTCCCCAGCTTTTTGGCAGCTCTGTGAGTGCAGCTCTGTGAGTGCAGGCTCCTATGGCAGAGGGCAAGGCTAGGATTCCCTCAGATTAGGTCAGGGTTTGTTCATCCCCAAAAAATATCTCAGTGGCCTCAGTCTGCAATGTCTCCTACTACCCCTCCCTTCTGCCTTCCCCAGAGCCTTTCCTTCCTGCTGGTGGTGATCTGCATATGGCTGATGCCAGACACCATGAGTGCTTGCTGATAAACACCTCTACCTTGTTCTCAGCTGTGAGGGCAGCCTGGATTGTACCCTCCAAATAGGGGAAATGATCAAGGGTCTGTAGGGCAGCCAGGGGCCCCTTGGCTGCCTGCTACAGAGCCCTTCATTTCCAATGGTCCCTGGGGCAGATTGTCCTGAAAGGATAGTCTCAGTCAGCACACAGAGAGGGAGAAGGGAAAAGAGATAAATGGAGTTATGAAATTGCAGCATGGCTGAAGCCCTCCAACTGGTTCAACTTCCCAGCACCCACTTCCCTCAGCCCTGCTCCCCCGCACAGAACAGCAGTGAACCTAAAGCAGCTCTTCTGGTCTCCTTTTCACTGAACAATGAACCTGATCAGAGAGAAACAAAATCGGTAGCATCAAGAATTAGATTATTTCTTTTCTTTATGATTGTTGCATTAATGAGCAGTTACATGTATAGAACCAGGAGGTGACTAATGTAATTAACCTGGTGTAATGATACTGCTGAGGAAGAGAGAGAGGATTATACCATACTTAGATGTCAGTATTGCACAATTTTATGTATGTTCTTGGTACTATCAGGTTGTGTCTGACACAGGAAACTTAAGCAGTGATAGATGTCAGGCTGCATCCATTCAGCTCATACATCTTTATGTGTAAAACAAGGATGTGAAAGGTGGATTGCTTTCCGGGAGTTGTGGGGGTGGAGGTATTCAGTTTTGGTGGTTCCTTTCCGTAACAAAATGATAGTAATTACCATAAAACGTCCTTTCTCATGAAGAATCTTCCCAAAATGTCTGCTTCTTGGAGCAGGCATTGGGATTTCACAGAAAGCTATAAAGACAAAGTCAGAACGCACACACTGGGTCCATATAACACTGGTCAGGAGGAGGCAGAGGGACAGAAAACGAGCAACACCAAGACATATGCAACTTGCAGCGAACCCGAGAAGAGTGAAGAGGAAGCACTTAAAAATCATAACAACAGCAATAAGAGCAGAAATACATGCTTGTTTTTAAATTACCCTTCCACGTTACATTTCACCCATCTCCTGGGGAGAGAAACGGATGACTGAAGTTCTGTGCGGGTCTAACTGCGGTGTGCGGGTCGCACTCGCGGCTCCAGGCACCTACGGCGGGGATGCGAAGGCGGCTGAGCCGGGGGACGGCGGTGGGGGGCTAAAAGGCGGAAAGCGAGGGAGAACCCCAGCGTCGCCTTCCCCTGAGCTCCGCGGCGGCCCCCGGGGAGCGACCCTTCGCGGGGCCGGCAGCGCCGGGCGAGGCGCAGGGCGGGGGCAGGCTGCCCCCCCGCCCCTCGCTGCCTGCCTGCTGCCTGCTGCCTGCCCGCGCAGAGCGGAGCGGGGCGGAGGAGGAGGGCGGCTGCCGCCCGCGGATGCTGGGGCGCGGGCGGCGCGGGCAGGGCGGGCGGCGCGGGCAGGGAGCTGTCCTTCAGCACCGCGGGCCGCGGAGCGCTCCGCCCGCACCGCCGCCCGGGGAGCTGTCCTGCAGCACCGGCGGCCCGGGAGCGCTCCGCCCGCCCCGCCGCCCGGGGAGCTGTCCTGCAGCACCGCCGGCCAGCGCCGACACCGCCGCCGCCGCCGCGGGGGAGCCGTCCAGCGCCGCGCCGCCACCGCCGCCTTGATGCAGTAGCGGGGCCCGGGAGTCGCCGGGGGCCGCCGCGGGGCAGGGGGTGCCGCAGCTGGGCTCCGCTCTGCGCCCCCCGCCCGGGAGGGGCGCCGCGCCCGTCCCCCTCCTCCCCCCCCCAACCCTCCAGCCCCAGGAGCCCCCCTCTCTCCTCGCCCACCTCCGCCGGGAGCGAGCGCCGCGGCTGTGCGGAAAAGCCATGGGAGGCGAGACCTCGGCACCTGTTCAGCTGAAATCAAGGGCTTACAGTATACTGGGCACTCTGGCTTGGTGGTAGGAGCGAGCGAAAGGAAGGAGAAGCAAGCAAGAAAAAGTGAGAGAGGATTGGAGCGACTGCCGCTGCCGGGAAAAAAAAAAAATAAAAACCCAAGGAAGATAACTGGGAAGGAAAAGGATTTTCATGGCGCAGGCTGCAGAGCTAAGCAAGAAGACTGAAGGTTGCATCTCTGCTCTTACAGTCTCTAACTGTCTAGGTCCAGATAATGAGAGATTGTGTTGAGGATGCTGCTGCTGCTCCCCTGTTCACTGTGGAAGCCATCTCCAAATTAGCCATTACATATGGAAACTGGAGACCAGAATTTTAGAAAAAGGGATTAAGGCGTCTCATTTTGGGGGGGGTTCTCTCTTTATTTGTTTGGTTTTTCTTGGTTCTTTTCTCTCTTTTTTTTTCTTTTTCCTTTTTCCTTTTTTTATATCTCAACCAGAACGTTTCCGATTTAAAAGGCAAGCCTCTTCCCGTGTGGTCTTTCTAATTTACACTCTTTTCCGTGGGCTTTCTTACCTCCCTTTTTTGATATCTATCTCTCTCTCTATACCCATTATATTATTAGTCGGAATTATTATTCTTTTATTTTATTAAACACACACACCCCAAGAATCAGAAGGCGGTTGGGTATTTGTATAATGAAGAATTATGGGGCTCTTTGACAGAGGTGTTCAGATGCTTTTAACCACCGTTGGTGCTTTCGCTGCCTTCAGCCTGATGACCATAGCTGTGGGGACCGACTACTGGCTTTACTCCAGAGGGGTTTGCAAGACTAAAACTGTCAGTGAGAACGAAACCAGCAAAAAGAATGAGGAAGTCATGACCCATTCTGGATTATGGAGAACCTGCTGCCTGGAAGGTATTTGATTCTGGACCTCCACACCCCCCCACCCCCTCCTCTCCCACCACCCCATGTTTCTCCCTCCTCCCCCCCAAAAAATCCCTCCACATTCCACCATTTTCTCACTTCATTCCTTTCACCGTGGTTTGAGAGTGGTGGGCTCAGTTACTCAGGGCACAGAGGCAAGAAGACAGGCAAAACATTCACTGTTCCATTCCCTTCTCCCTTCCTCTTTACCACCCTCCCCACCACCACCTTCCCCAAAAATTCACTTCCTCTCTCCAACTGGAATAATGTGTGTGTTACAAAACCACCGAGAGACCCTTTCAAAAAGCAACTGTGCAGTCTGCCTGTCTTTAGCTTGTTTGTATTGCCTGGGTAAGCAATGCTAAAATGCTGTGTTATTGCTGTGCTCCGGCTGCAACCACAGAGTGAAATAATTGCTCTCTTTGCAAATGGCTTATTTGCAAAGACAAGACTGTGAGTGAGGGGCAGCGTGGGGAGGGGGTGACTGCAAATCACTTTAGATGCAAGTATTAGTTCCTTTCAGGAGGGAAAAAGAGAGAAAGGGAAGCAACCCTGGTATGTCCAAAATGCCTCACACAGTAAATCTAACAATACCAGTGATCTCAACCAGAGTTCAGAGCATTTTGTAATGTCTGTAAGCAACCACATCTCACTGGGCTGGATGCAAAAGGGAAAGGGGTCTAGTTGGTGGCTGATTGGTTTGGTTTGGGGCTGGAATTTTTCCCCAGTTTGTTTGTTGTTAGAAGGGGAGGGTGTTCTGGGCTTCTTTTTTTTTTTTTTTTTTTTTTTTAAGGTTTATGGTGAAGGCTAAAAATAAACAAGTCTCTGAATGGAAAAATCAGCCCAAGTCTGATGTGGTGAAACTGAACAGCAACTCAGTGACATGTCTGATGGCAGAAGAGACACCGCCGCAGCCAACTTCTGGAATCAGACGTTCTTAAGGGAGGGGGAAAGAAAAGAGGGGCCAGTGATTCGCTTTTAAATATGTATTGCTCAGTACTGCTATTGGTGTACGTGTGGGCTGGGGAGGTGGTCTTCAGCCTGTGCTGAAGGAACAGGGGCAACTGATGTAAATGCGTGGTTTATGTTACACACGTAGTGAGAAGGAGAGAGCGAGAGCACAGGAGCACATTACAGCCCATTGTAAAAGCCCTGTTTATGAATCAGGTCCCAGCTGGACGGTGGGCTGCTGGGGGTTCATGGACATCCAGGGATAAGATCTGTGTCTACCGGTGTCCACCGGAGCTGGGTGTGCCTGGAGATCCCTGATGGGAGAGAAGGGGGAGTGGGTACCGCAGAACTGATTTTCTTAGCCCGGCACAGGGAGATGGAAGGCAGGGGGAAGGGGGGAATAAACTATGTATGTTTTGATGTCTCTCACCAAAGCAAGCTAAAGCTGCTGGTTGGAAATGGTTGTGTCCGGGAAGAAGCATGAATTTCTCCCCCGTTCTTGGTGCAAACGGTTGAGTGATGGCTGAACATGTTTTGAATAGCTAAGTGACTTCATTGAGCGATGGTCTATTTGACGCATACTGCATTTAGTGCCCTTTGTCAACCCAAACTGCTGCCTTTTAACATATCCTGCAGAGGAGCTCTATGCTGAATACTATATGCTGTATCCAAGCCAGAAAATCAATAGCAGTAAATTAATGGGGGATGTTTTAAACACACTTGCTCACACACGCACAGATTTCCTCCAAATAGATAAATATATAGAGTTGTATATTAATAAAAAATGAAAAGCCTTTCACACAGATATTCATTACAACCAGGGAAGGAGACATCTCCTTAATTAAAAATTAAAGAGAGAGAGAAGGGAAAAGGAAAAAAAAAAAAAAGAAGAAGCTCAAATGCAAAGCCATGCAGGGAAGAGAGGCTGCAGGGATGAACTCCCTTCCCTGAGCCATGTCCCCAAGCTGGAGGGAGGAGGGAGACTGGGGTGGAGATAGGAGGTATGAGGACCCCAGCCAGGAGAGGCAGTGAATTCAGATCATGTCTATCTGCCCACAGAGCCGTACCCAGAGGGACGCGGTCTGAGGGGGAGGAGGAAGGGGCGGGTGAGGTTTGTCAGATTGGAGGAGCTCAGGGCTCCTTCTCCTTTACATCTGACAGGACCCCACAGGCACTGTAGAGAAGCGGCTTGCATGGCAAAAGAATGTGCCAGGGTGCTTCCAATTAAAAGCTCCGTAGTGCCCCCAGCCCCCACAACACTGCTGCCAGCTGAGGTCCTTTGCCCTCTCTATTGATGCTCTCCAGTGGGCTCAAACTGCAGCCCTGCATGAGGGGTGTGAAGTGCAGCCTGAGCACAAGCTGCATGGCCCTGGCAGGGTGCTCTCCCTTGCCCCAGACATGTGAGGGTTGGGCCAGCCCATTCCCCCAGCCCCTAAATGCTGGGCAGTACTGGCAACTGGGGTAGGAGGGTGCAATGCACCACGGGGGAGCCGAGCCCAGCTCTGAGCCCCTTGCCTGAGGGCACAGGTTGCATTAAAACTTGGATAAAGTCTTGGTAGCAAGAGCATCTCAGCAGAAGGCAAAACCATCGCCATAGGCACATGCTGATAAGGGTTTGGGCAGCTTCATGGGGTGGCATAGCATAGGTCTGGCACTGCCACTGCTGAGATGCCTCCACGTGGCTTCCAGCAGCCCCACAGCCTGCACTGGGTGGTGACTGACACTGTCTTAGTCCCAGGACAGCACAGCCAAGTATCTCCACCAGCCCTTGGATGGCAGGTCTCTTACTGTCATGTCTGATCACCGTAGAAGGGGTTATCTTTCTCGGCAGAACAAATCAGAAAGGTGTCCCTGGTTGATTTGCTCTCCCTGTTGAAAGCTGCCCGCTGGTGAACAGGAGAGAGAAGGATGCAGCAAAGTCTGCTTTCCCCCATGATACAGAGGGTGGGCAGATTTTTGGAGGGAAGGGTTTGGTCCCAGGAGGCTGAAAAAAGAGCAAAACCCTTGGATTCTGTTCACAGCCTTCCCACAGTGTGGCAGAGGCATCTGACAAGGGGTGTGGGGCAGACACTCTTCTTCTGCCTGGGGTGGGTGTCAGGGCAGGTCCATACGGTGAGGGGAGGTAGTGAAGAAGAGGGTAGGAGGCTTTATAACAAGAAAATAATCAAAGAAGGAGTCCAAACTGCCATCTACTACTTGTAAGAAGCCTCTGATGACCTTGCCTTCATTTCTGGGGATGTGGAAGAAAACTGACACTAGTCAACACTGTAGGCTGTCAGAGATGGTAGACACCTCATGTTCCAGTTATTGTGTTAAATTATCTTTTCTCTTCTTGGCCAAGAGATCCAGTAACAAAAACGGATGTGAGAACTTAGTCTTGGACTGTACACACAGATATGTTATGGTCAGAACTGCAAGTTCCTCTTGGACAATTTTGTCCCCAGGCTTTCAATTTCTGAGTTCCCCTCTCTTCAGTCATTCTATTCCCCACAAAGGAGTTTCAGTCAACATTTTCAGATCTTTGTGTTGATTCAGAGAGGAGTGTTATTTCGGAAGTTCCTCCTCTCTTGGGATTTCTTTCCCCCCTTTCTTGTGTCCTACAGGACACCCCTGCTCCACAGTGGGACTCAAGCAGACAGGTGGTGTCAGATCACAATTCTGATTTTTTTCCTGTTCTTCCTTAAGATGATTCTTTCTCAGATATTGAGGTTGCTCAAATGTGTCCCCAGGCCATTCAAAAGTCTCTACCCTTCAAGAAAAATATCTTTTCTCAGCCCTTTGACTGTGTAGGCACAAAACACACACGTACACCAAGCAATTGAGATCTGCAAGCTCATGCCCCACATGGATACTGCACCTCTTACAACTTCGAAATGGCTGCAGATCTTCCAACCTAATTCCTTCTTGGCACCGAGTGCTTTAAAAACACTTTTTATTATGAGTGATGCCTTACCTAATTCTTTAATTAACTCCTGTAGATCTCCTATAGGATCTCAAAAAGTGAGGGACAATGCCTTATCAGGGTCTTATGAAGCAAGCAAATGAATTGTATTTTATATCTGCAGGTTATTGGTTTTGTCATGTTGTCATTATCATTAGGAAAGAGATAGGTCTGGGAGGCTTTTATACTGAGAAGGAGAGAGAGAAGAGTCCAGAGCAGGCAGGCATGAGTGATGCACATGAGGTTAGACATCCCTGTAGATCTGACTGGTGTGAAGGCAAGTAATTGAATGAATGTTGGTGGAGAAAATAATTCTTGCCTAGAGACCCTTCCCAAGGAAAATTAACGAGCTGATCTGTCCCCTTTCCAGCTTGTTATATCCGAGTGCATGAGAGCTAAGTGCAGATTCAGTGTTTGCAAAAATCAAGACCTGACAGCAAAGTGAGGCAGGGCACAGGCAGTGGACAAGCTTCTGCCAGACCATTCTGGTGCTGCGTCGCTTCCTCTCACTGCCTTCTCTCATTGCTGTTTGTTCCTGGTGCACCTCTTTCCTTTCATGTCCATCTTATGGGTAGGGGGTTTTCCCTATTTTCCCTCTTACCTTTCCCAATTTTCCTTTATTTCAGCCCTTATTTCTGTCAGCATCCCTAGTTTTGCTCTGCAGAATTGCCTACCGTCCTATTTCCAAGGATCCACAAGTCTACCGGGTGCTTTCCTCTGATCCTTGCCGACCTAATCCAGGGCCTTTTCTGAAAATTCAGTGGATATAGCAGTAGATTAAGTCAGGGTCTCCATGTTTTCACAGTTCAGGACCAGGAGCATCCTAGTCCAGCCCTGAGATGCAGCAGGAGGAAATGGCCCAGCACATAGCTGATTGCTGCTGGTGCTGCATCTGCCAGGGAGAAAAAGGATTCAGACTTGGACAGGCCTTGGATGAAGAGAAAGACAAAGGATTTTAAAAATGGGGTGGCAGATGGTGAGGAAGAATTACTCAGGATCCCAGACTTGGGTCAGTTTGGTTCTCCTCTCAGCTAAAATTCACACCTGACTGAAGTCACCAAGAAGACAGGGATTTGAGGGGCTGAGAACTGCAAACTCA